CTACTTCAAAGCCTGCAAAGAATCTTGGGTCTGCATGAAGACTTGTGGGCACTCAGGCGAGTTCAGTACCATTCTGAAGAGTTGCTCCATGAGTTCCTGTTCCTGCCTCCTTTCTACAGTCTCTCATTATATAAACCTCTCCCAGTTACTTTGTGCTCCTGTTCCTCCTTGATCTTTAGTAGCTCCCTTAATCTACACCTCTTTTTTGCATCTCTTTGACAATGTCATCCACATTGTACTTTCCTTTTGCCCTTTGCAGTACAAGTCTGTATACTCAAATGTATGTGAAGGAAGGCTAGTCCTTCAGAACTCCAAGTGCCTGCAATGGAAAGAGAGAGAGAGTATCCATTCATTTTTATTCCTTAACTGTAACAAATTCATCCTTCTCACATTACTTCTTGTCATAAGGCTACAACTTTGATCTTTTTGGTATGCCATCCTCTTTCAATTTCAAGCTTGACTCTCCAGAGATATAAGGTAACAAAATGGCAAACATGATGACTTCATGCTTTTTCTTTACATTATATAATGTTTTAATGGACATCATGCTGTCTGCCTGTGGCCCAGGTTCTCTAATTTTTTTTTTCAGGCTGAGAAGCCCATCAAGGATAAAAAGAAACAGAAATGGCATCCAGAGATGACATTCCTTTAATCTATGTGATGGGATTTTTAAGGTTTTTGTCACTGAGCAACATATAAGCAAACTGAGGAGTCTACTGAGTTTCACTAAAAATCCTGCCACACACCAAATATGCAGGCATCACTTTCTGCGGTGGAGAAAGATCCAGAAGAACATAGATAAGCTGCTGAATTAAGAACTAGGAGGCTCACAGGTACAGACCATTCTCTCTAAGAACCAACATAAGAGAGATCCTCAAAAAATTTGGACTTTGAAACTGAGAGGTTTAGTTATTTATTTCTGGAGCAACTGTAAGCCTTCACAAGTTGTTTGTCAAAAAACAGCAGCTTCTCCCATTCCTCCTTGCTCCCTGGCATAGCTTCCCTGGAAACAGATTTGCAAGGACAGAAGTGACTTCTGGTGACTTTTAATATTGACAAATCTTCTCCAGTGAAGCGGCCATTACAGTTTGCAGGTCAAGTCACAACTCTATTTTTAAATGCATTTCCTTGTACTGTAATCCATGAACAGAATGTTTACACAAATAATGACAAAGCTTTAGCAACAAAATATATATATATCTCTTATGTATCAGCTCCTACGAAGCATTTGACCATATAACTGTACTTTAAATTGATAAGGCAATCCTACAAAATGCTTAGCACTGGACATGGACACTTACTTGTTCTTTTTACTGCTCAGTGGCTATTTTGGGATCTACATGGCATTGGTAAGGAGCATGGAATAGAAGGGAGGGGGGGTGGAGAGAAAGCTGCTGCATATAAACTTTTATGTGACTTCTAACACTGATCAAGGCTGACCGTATCCTGGGACCCCCCAGATCCCTCTGAGTTGGTTGCCCCTCTACAATGAAACCCTTTATACCAAGACTTCCTTACAAGTACAGTACTTACCAAGCACAAGATCAAGTTGATTATTCCACTTTTACCTCTACAGGAGCATCAGTGGCTTCATTACTGACCAAATTCCTCAGAGACCTCTTCCAGGATGCCTGGTGCAAAAGCTTGCTGAACTGGCTCTGCTTCTGGGAGAAGGGTCTTCTGTGGAAGGCTCTGGGTTCGGTGCTCAGAGCACTGGCAAGCTCAGGAATACAAAGCAGGTGGCATTACCAGACCGCTGGTGTGCATCCTTTGCCTTCCAGTACAGTTTCTTGAGGTGCTTGATATGTGTTTGGAACTGTGACTGAGTCCTGAGATTCCTAACAGGTGCTAAAATGGTGAATAGTCCTGTTTCTGCAGGATGCTTGGAACACTGCCTCCAGATAGTCATCAAGATGCTTGTGTTTCTCTATAGCCAGCTAGCTGCACACTGGGAACACCCCCTTAGCTTAGCAGAGCAAAGGCTGGTAAGGAAGCCAGTCAGGGCAGTACTGGTAGCTGAGAGCAATCCATGAGAAAAAGGGAGCATAAATTTAAATATCAAACAGAGAGTTTAAAAGTGCCATCTGGCTTCTTGGAGTGGAGGGTGAAGGAGGAGGTCCACGTAAAGGACAGATGACATAGGAACAGGAATTGCAGAAGTACCATAGGACAGCTGTTATAGTCAAGCAAAATTGCCATGGGACAGCTGCTATATAGCTCATGGCTGCACTCAGAGATGTGGGTTTTCTGGAAAATTTGGAATTGGAAAATTTTCCAGAAATTTTTCCAATGCCCTAAATTGTGTGTGATCTAATTTAGCATGTTTATTTCACTCATATTTAGTAAAAAAGACTAAAAAAAGACCCCCGTGTAAATTTTATGTCCTAATTGCCACACGTATTTGAACTGAAATATTTGATTAGGAAAAAATTAAAACACAGCACACTTAATATAGTTTAAATGTTATATTCAAACAAATTCAAAGCTTTATGTAGAAAGAAATTATTCTTATTTAAATACTTGTAAAATGTAAAGACAATACACAATAGCACGTACTTCCCTTACACTGTTTGTTTCAATTTAAGAAGAAAAAACCCCAAAGGCACTGATGCTCCCCCATTCACGACTGCTGCCCACAGTACTTGAGCACCCAATACAACTCACTGTGGTTGGACAGAGACTCAAGAGGTTAGTGAGTTTATCCCTTTACTCTAAGGTAGGATCACATACAAAGGTTAAGCAAGCATGTTATAACTTCCTTAGGTAACCTGTTCCAGTGCTCAGCTATTCTTATATCTTGAAAGCTTTTTCCTAATATCTAACCTAAATCTCCTTTGGCACATGTTAAGACTGTTATTTCTTGTTCCACTCTCAAAGGATGCAGAGAACAGATAATCACTGTTTTCAATTTAAAACAATTAAGCACTGTCTTTTCATGTGTTTGAAGATTATTATCTTGTATGCCCTTCCGTCTTTTCTGGTCTAGCAGTTCTTTCAACCTCATTTACATGCCATGTTTTTACACTGCTTTTCATTCTTTATTATCTCTTGAACTCTCTCCATGTTGGCTACATCTTGCATAAATTGTGGTGCCCAAAACTTCACTTGTTATTGTTGAGGCCTCACCAGAGCTCAGCTAAGCAGAATAATTACCTCCTATGTCTTTCATAAAATACTCCTGTTAATACAACACAGAATATTTCTTTTTTGCAACAGTATCACATTGACAACTTTATACTCCCTTTATAATCCACTCTGCTTTCAGCTGGCTTTCTGCCATATCACGGTCTAGTCAGTTATTGCTATTCTGTGTTTGTGCATGTGGTTTTTCTTTCCCAAAATAATGTTTTTCACTTGTCTTTACTGTATTTCATCTTTTGAATTCTACTATTTCAGCCATTTACCAAGATGATTTAGAATTGTAATTTTGTCCTTCAAAGTGCTTATAACTCCTCCCACATGCAAATTTTCTACAATCAAGGGTCAGCAACATAAGGCGCACATGCCAGATCTGGCTTGCAGATCCAGGGGGCTTCAGCAGTGGTTTGGCAGTGGGGGGCTTCAGCCATGCTCAAGTGGCTTGCAAGGAGCTGCCCCAGGCCAGGAGGTGGGGAGCTATGCCCATGCTGCAGCCAGGTTGGAACACCAGGATCTCAGACCCAAGCTGGGCTGTTCCAGCTCTGATATGCTGCCAGTCACTATCCCACGTGTGCTCTTTATTCTGTGATTCAAATCAGTGATGAAAATACTGAACAGTATTGGATGCAGCACAGACCCCTGTGGGACCTCAACTAATATGTCAGCATAGTTTGACTGCAAATTACTTACTCTTTGAGTACACTTTTTTCCCATCAGTTGCATACAAACATTATAATAATCTCATCTAGACTTCATCTATATGTCCCTACTTTGTTTGGAAAAATACTACCTGGAACACTGTCAAAATCCTTACTAAAGTCAAGATACCTCATCAAAGAAGGAAATTAGATCTGCTTGGTGTGATTTGTTCTTGACAGAAGTAAAAAGAGTGTATTTTATCACCTTGTCATCCTCTTGAGGCTTACAAATTGATCTTTCCAGATCCAAGGTTATCAGGGTAAAAATACCCCTCCTTTTTTACTCTTTTTAAAGAAAAATACTCTATTTGTCCTTCAATGGTTTCCCTCATACCTCATCCTTCCTCAATGCATTCTCATATATGCATTTCACTAGAAGTCCAAAGACAGCTTCAGATAGTTCCTGAAACACTTGAGGGCTGAACTACATCAAGACAGACCAACTTGAATCTAATATTTTCATTCCTTTTTTTATTAGATATTTGGGCATGAAAGCCAGCACACACTGCCATTTTGCCAGCTAAGACATAAATTGCTAACAAATATAAAAGTAACTTCATTTATGTATGTCAATAAGCTGCTCCCATTTCAAGGACAATTCACAGAGAAGTAGGACTGGAAGGGACCTCCATAGGTCATTTAGTTCAACCCCCTGCCTAAGGCAGGATTATCTCTATCCAAACTATACTATACAAGCCACAATCTAAACTCTACAAACATCATTGTTACCTTAGTAGCAGTGTACCTCAAAACACAAAAGTGAGCTTAATAGCCCACATAAGATATGGTAAAGTATGAAGTGGTATGAGATAGTTTCTTGGCACTCATTTGAAAAGACTGAAGTATTTCCAAACTCATGGCAACACATAGGGGAACATAGGAACTGCCCTGCTGAAACAGACTCAAGGTCCATCTAATAGTCATCCTGTGTCCCATACTGCAGATTGCATATGATGAAAAATCCCTATGGTTTTAAAAATCATTAGCAGACTGCAAGTAACTTAAGTTCAGAAGGAAGAGAGAAGGACAGGACTCCAAAATACCCATTCTGTAACTAAAACACTCCCAGCAGTGCAACTGAACTGACTTCAGGCCAGCAAAATATTCACAGGTGACTACAAAATTTGTACCCAAGGTGTTATTGTTGGCTCCAGCATTTTATACCTTCTGGATTTCTTCAGGTAACGCATGCATAGGAATATGCCGATCCATGGCCTTCCAAAATTCAGGCACAGTTGTGAGGCAGGATGACAGGACTGGTGGGGATTACATGGTCAGCAGCAGGTGTTTAACTATCAAGAGAAAAAGATGTTAAAATGTATGTGCCTACGGTACAGACCAGTGGTTCTCAACCTATTTAGACTCAAGGTGCTTCTCATTAGACTCAAAGCCCCCTCCCCGGCACCAGGGCCCCTCCAGGACTTTTTTGTGAATGGAACAACTCCTGTGTGGAAGACAAACTGATTTAGGACTATGCCAACCTCCTAGTGGAGGAGCAGGCGGGGGTGGGGAGCAGCCAGGCAGGGACAAACCTGAGCCCTGCACCTGGGCTTATCTCCTCAGACCTTTTTTTGGAAATTTCGTGTTTCAAATTCTATGGTCTGGGCAGAGCTCAGTCCTTCAAGTCTGTGCAGCGCCACCACCACCAAGTCTCCTTCCCAGCCTCACCAGCTGGGGGCTTCAGATACTGCAGATGCTTCCTCAGCCTGACAAAGGGTTTTTAAACTGGAAAGCTTCCTAAGACAATTTTTTCCCCAACTATTTAAGTTGATCTAGTGAAAAATATCAGATTCACCCAAAGAACCTTGCCTGCCTGTGTCCCAAGACCAACACGGCTATGACCTACACCTCCCATCCAAAGCATTTACATTTGTACTGACTGGCTTTCTTGCCTATGTATTGGCCTCTGGCTGCTTTACCTCTCCATCCAGAGGCAGCGCAGACCCTCTGCATGCGCTGCCTCGCCCCAAACCTTGCTAGGAAGAATTTATCCAACTATTTGAGTTGATGTAACAAAAAATACCAGATTTACCCAAAGAACCTTGTCTGCTAAATCCAAGGTAAGACAAGGGTCTTTTGGTAACTCTGATATTTTTTATTTTATTAGTAGTAGTATTTTATTGTCTGCCTATGTCCTTAGACCAACACGGCTACAACTTACACCCCTAAATCCATGCTCCATGCACGCCCCAGCCCCTGGAGTGCAGGAGCCCCCCGCCAGAGGGAAAGGCCCGGGATCGTGGGGGTGTCACGGGTGACATGACCCGCGCAGGGCGCCCTGCACGCGGGGGGAGGGGGACTCTTACCTCGGCGTCTCGCGTGCAGCGCCAACGGCTTCCCTAGGCGCCATGGCAACCGGAGCCCAAGGAACGTGACTCAACCGTGACGCAGGGGTGGGAAGAGTCGCGCGCCGGCGGGGGCGGGGCGTCGCCTCGCTGCAGGGGTGGGAGCGGCGGCCCAGAGCCGCAGGGCAGTGGGCTGAGCGCCGGCCTTGTCTGGGGTGTGAAATAAAACCAGGGGTGGAGATGAGCACGCCTTGCTTTCCTGGGGAGGAGCGAGCCCGCGGGGCGGGTAGGGGAGAAGGGGCAGCACCCGGTGCGTCCTACACAGGGTGACAACGCATTTGCCTGGAAAAGCGGAAGCCACGCATGACCCTCGGTCCCTGAGCAAGACTGGAGACTCCCGGGTCCTGCCGACCAGGCGAGGTGCACCTGGCAGCACTTCCCTAACACGAGTTAGCTGCGGTTGCCACCTGGGGGCTTTCAGACATGGGAAAGAGCAGGGTTGGGTTTTGCTGGTGCATTGAATACTACCGGCAGAGGCAAGACTGCCAGACAAAACCGAGAGAGGATCAAATGATGGTATGTGTAGCCAAGCACAGCAGTCACTTTTGTGCAGGCCCAGGATGCAAATCTAGCCTGCCCGATGCAAAATTGTCAAGTTGCTTTATTCAGTGAGAGAGAGAAATAATATTAGTGGGCATACTCCTGAGGTTGCAAAAGTGTCATCTTTAACTTCTACCTGGGACAAGCACAGACATGCCGAGAAGAGATCTTGCTTTGTCATTTCCTGTAATAGAGGCCTTGAATAATACAGTACCACAATCTCCGCTCCTGCTGTTCTGCAGGGCCTGAATTGAAACTAAAACTCATGTTTTAAGTTCAAAAGTCTGCCATCTCTAGCAGCTGTGGTGCTGCTTCACAGACTTTGCTGCCTTACTGCACTGCGCTGTCCCAGGTCCCATCCCATAACCCAGTGAGCGAGCAGAAGCCATTTCAAATCCAACAACAGGGAAGCAGCAGAGTATTCAAGGGGGCACAGCCTACCTGGCAGGGCAAAGTAAGCAGTGGGGAAGTAACCAGCTGAAGCCTCACTGGTCTTACTGAAAACAGAGCATCTTGGTTTCACTTGAGCTGTCTGTGACCTTCAAATTGTTCCTCAAGCCTGGGTCAATCCCTGTAAGCTGGGACATATGTTCAACCTCTGTCTGAACTGCCTTTGCTCTCTCTGCCAGCCTAGAATGAAATCTGTTTGAGTTTACAACAGACCAATAAAAAGTAAATAAATCAATTAAAGATGTGAGAATCAAAGTAGGAGTTTTTATTGTGAGACTGTTTCAGCTGAATTAATTTCACAACCCACACTCACTCCTTTTCATCATTGTTGTCTTATGTGCAGCCTTCCAAACCTAAACCAAGGCCAGCAGCCTCGGCCTTCTGGGAACGTTTTGCTTTACTCTGTCTGGTCAGCCTTGCCACAACACGCCAGGAGTTTGGGTCACACGTTTGATGAAGAGTTGGGCTTGGGGGTTTTGACAGCTTTTGTTTAGGTCTTCATCCCCTTGAACCTGGTGCAGGACATCTGTATTATGGATGAAGCTTTGGCAACAGAACAGGTCGTCAGTTGTCTAAGATAATTTAGACACGTGATCTTGCCTTAAGCCAGGGGTTGGACTAGATGGCTTCTTCAGGGCCCTTCCAGCTTGCTTTTTTATGATCCTAATGTCCTCCTGGGTTCATGAATCTCCATCCCTTTATCTTGTTCGTTTCCTGAACCATGCCCGTGACCAATATAGTAAGTTAATCTATAAACTATGAGAACAAATGAGACAAATGCTGTAACTGGTCTATTTTTGTGTGTTTGATATTCTCCCCCTTTAGAGAGGGTTTGATTAACAACATGGTTCTGGGTGAAACATCCACTGTCATTCAGAACTGGAATAAAAGCTAACAGCAAACATCTTGTAATGAAAAACAGGACAGCCTGACAGCAGTGTTGTTGATCAAACTAATGTATTGGTTAATTCTGCTCAAATCTACACTAGAAAGTGAGGTAGCACTAACTGTATGAATGAAACACAACTGCACAAGATAACGTTAAGGCCAGTGCCAACTGCAGAAGGTTCATTATCCGTCTGGTGCTGAGAATCCTCATATTGCAGGGACTTTGGTTCCTAATAGGGTCAGGCCTATAGCAGAAGTAGCTACACAAAATTCAGGATACATGAACATTGATCCAGGGCTTCCAAGACAGGGAGTTTGAGTTTCCCCTTTAAAAAAAAAAATCAAATATGAATACACTGCCCTTGTCTGCATTAGCAAAACACTTCTACATCAAACTAATACATAAATAATGCAAGCAGCCAGAATTAACATGAGATAAGCACGGAAATATTAGGTACGGGTTGCAGCTGTTATTAGGTATTAGCTGCCCCTGCTTCTGCTGAGATGATGTCAGACGATGAGATGCTAAGTACGTGTAAGACCCCTGGGGAGATCATCCTGCCCCTATGCTGCGCAAGCTGAAATCATCAGGGGCCTCTGCCCTCGGCTTGACCGGGCGGGCGCCGGCCCGGCTCAGCGTGTGCTCCGCATTCCCATCCCAGCCTTCCCCGCACCTTCGTGCCAGCCTGGGCAGAGCCGCTCCGCCTATTTCGGGACAAACCCGGACGCAGCTCCTGACTCCTTTGAAGCAGGCTGGACTAAAAGTCAAAGTAGGACATCGGAAATACCCTGCTGACACCAGGCACCGTCCATCCCCGGGCGGGGCGGGGCGGGGCGGGGCGGGGTGGGTCGTGCTGCTGAGGGTACAGGGCGTCCTCGGGCACAGCCTGTTACATCAGCGCGAGGGCAGCCGCTTCCTTGCAAACCGAGACCCCCCACGGGGCACGGCCGGGATCAAGGGAGGGGGACTCCTGCTTTCCGAAACGTGGGCGGGATTGAAGCCCGCTCCCCGGCCCCCGCTGCCCAGCCTCCCGCCCAGAGCCGCGGAGCGCTGCAGCGCCGCTCGCTCCCCCCA